CTGAGCTGTTGCATAACTTTATCCAATCTAGCACTGCAGTAAAAAAAGAAAACCTGCACTGACCTTTTAAGTCCCCATTCTGCAGTAAACAGCTGTGACATCCTGTGATAAAAAAATCCCCTGTGCTTTAAAACTTTGGAAGCTGCTATTTTGTTTTGCCACCAAGTAAGAGCAACAACTGACTGGTTCTAAGGGGCTTTGCAAAGACAGTTAAGACATTTACTGTCCTTGGGAGCAGTGCTTAGCTGTTAATTAGTTTGCCAACAGCGTGTTGGGAGAACTTTGACAATGCACCTCAAATTTTAATTCCTCCTTTCTCTCTGGTTGTCTTACCCAACTCAAATAGCCAGGTCACTGTGCGGGTACACTATCCATTACAGAACAGAACCTAAACAAGGACTGTGACCCTAACCCAAATTATAAATCATGAGAATTTTCTGACATGTTTTCTTTCCTACTAGATTCAGTAGTTTCCTTTCGTTTCTCCAGGCAGAGCTCAAAACCCTCTCCCCAGCTGAACCCCTGGTGTTGATCATTCACGGGGCCCTTGGCGGTGTTTTGAGTGCTTGGGACTCTGAGCCTTCAACTAACTTTATGTGGGTGGCCATCTGTACACCCACAGTCCCACTGAGGTCAGCCCAGGTGCAGTTCTCCTCTGAAGGCAGCCGTATGATTGTGGCCTCACATGGAAAGCTGTCTGCAAAATTACTTCTCTTCTTTTTTTCTAACAAAGCCCTGTTTGCGCTGTGAGTGTTTATCATAGAACAGTATCATTAGTATTATTTTCTGAATCTAGAAAACAACACATGCAGCTCATTGATTCTAAGCTGACATAAGTATGATCTGCTCTCAGGGAAAATTGCTGTAATGGGACATCACACAGTAATTTTACCAGAGTGCCATGTATTCACAGGCCCAGGCAGGAATTTCTTAAATCCTGCCTTCACTGGAAAATAGTAATGCATCAATAGGCAAATTTTCCTCAACAAGACACTCGTGTCTACAGAAGTTTTATCAAGAAAATTTTTTCAGGACCAGGTGTAAATTTCTAATCCAAAGCAAGGCCAATGCCAAACCAGAATCCCCTAGTATTCATGCAGGCACGGTGGACAGTTTAAATTCTTCTCCCACACATGACTGTGACTGCTACATCTAAGGTAAGTCCTTCAGCTTCTAACATTTAAAGTTATTTCATGCCCTGTGAATACTTGATTACAAAAAAACAGTAAAGCAGCTTTCATGTAAAAGGATAACACCCAAAGAAAAAAGGGTGAATTGATAGTTATGAGAAAGCCAAGTTCAAACTCCTGGTTTAAATCAGGCAATACAAGGTTTTCTGCACCCCAGGCACAAGCCCCTAACACAAGTATAACAACTGCCATGTGTGGAGCTTTTCTCTTCTCAAAAGACAACACAAAGACCAACTCTTGCTCTAGTATAGAGCAAGACCTCTGAAGTTTAGATTTCAGAAAGCTTTGTTGGATTGGAAAACCATTTCAATTTGCTTGCTCTTTTTCATCAGTGCCTGAATCACAGTGTCAAATTAAGTAGCTATGGCAAGCTGCTGTTTATCAGGACAAAGTAATAAGCAGGAAGAATATATGCTGTGGGGGTGGCATCTTCCTGACAAGACTTTGATTCTTGAAATGACAGTTAAATTTAAAAAAAAAAAAAAAGAAAAGAAAGTGATTCAGTTTAACTGCCTTTCCAAAGTAGGTAGGTTTTGTCGTTAGAGGTTAACGTTCCAAGAAACCCAGCAGCGATGAATAACTTTGTTGAGCTGAAAATGAGTTTGTTCAGGATTTGCTCTAGAATACCTGGTATCTCCACCAAAACTGTTCTGCAGAGAGTTCTGGCCACGAAGAAATGAGCTGCATGAAATAAAGCCAAACACAACACCAAGGTGTACATGCCAGCTCTGCAGCGGAAGGCTGAAGTTCAGGGCCACTATGAAGAGCTACATACTGTTGTGGTTTCTAAATCTTTCAGTCTTGTCCTGATCCAAAGATTGTGCAATAGAGAAGACCATGTCTGACCCTTCAGTTCTGCTTAGTGTATTTTGCAACATGTTTGAGGAACGAGCTATGCTGCCACACTGTGCAGCTACATCCTTAGCTCATGTTCCTAGTGCTGCTCGTCCTGGCTGGGGGCTGCACTCGTGCTGGTTAGTGATAAAACTGGGGATCATCCTTCTGGCAAAAGTTCGGCTATTATCCTTACAGACCTGTATAAATTTTAAATCTATAGGATGAATGTTTCTAAACCTCAGTTTTAAAAAGACAATGAAAAAATGCCTTGTGTCTATAAATGCATGGGAACCAGGAAAAAAAATATAACTGAATAAACAACAAATAAAATAATTCCTCTGTTAATTAATGAAAAATAAAATAAAAAATGTATTTTTAAAAAATTGATTGTAGTTTTGGGTGTTTCCTACCTTTGCCAGGACTTCTCAAATGTCTAGCTAGCAAAGCTCTTACTGTTTTTGTTTAATCAAAGCTTTGCTTGTGTTATTTGCTGAAAATGCTGTCTTTCCACTTCGCAACTGTTCTGGGCACTCAAGTAAAGCCAGTCATGCTGAACAGTGCTCTATGGAGAAGGGGCAGCTGCTCGGACTGTTGTATATTGTCATATCTTTTTTTAAACAGATACGCTAATTTACACCATTTGAGGATCTGCCCCTGATCATGGATTTGTGAGAGCATTTCCATAACTGTTGGTTAACACAGGAAAATCAGAATCTAGCAGCTGACAAGAAGGTACATTTTATGTTATTGACATGTTTCTAATTTCTGAGCAGACTTAATAACAATATATATAATTGCATGCACACTCTGTGTTTTCAGTGTGGCTTTTTTTCTTTAGAGAAAGTCAACTCTGAGCTTTGTCATCTGGTCATAACCCCTTTGAATATCTGCTGTCTCAGGAAGACCAATCTTATGTGCATTCAAAACTGCTGAAGCACAAGCCATACTGTATTGTAAATATGGAAGGTACAAAGACAAATTTTGTATCAATTAAATTACATATATTACCTGATGTAATGTATATGCACAGTGTGGAGTTATTTAGAGCATCTATCATCAGCTACATTTGGCATCTAGCATTAATGCTCTGAATCACAGCATTAGGCATCTCTCTTTCCCACTGACTGCACTGAAAATTTTAGAGTCTAAATCTGGTCTCTTTAATTAAATCCAAGAGAGATGGTTAAGTCAGACTAATGGAGGTGAAATGCCCCTCATTATCAGAAATTACTTCTCTGTGTGCATCAGCTGACACAATTAGTTACAATTACTTGAGTTAAAACTACTTGAGCTAAAAAAAATAAATGCAAGTATTGAATACATTCTGTTTCCAGAGCTCAATGCAGACAGCAATGCATTAAGAAAAAAAAAAAAAAAAAGAAATTACTTCTCTGTGTGCATCAGCTGACACAATTAGTTACAATTACTTGAGTTAAAACTACTTGAGCTAAAAAAAATAAATGCAAGTATTGAATACATTCTGTTTCCAGAGCTCAATGCAGACAGCAATGCATTAAGAAAAAAAAAAAAAAGAAGAAAAAACCTCCAAACCATAAAAATTTAACACAATATGAATTTTTGTTTCTGTCTTTGTTTCTCTCATGCACTGAGATCAGGAACAGATTTCCTCTGGACCCATACAACCTAAAACTCTGATTTTAAAATGTGATCAGAATTTATTAAGCAATCATAGTTCCTAGAATCTGGTCCAATATGAAAACAGAAAAAGCTTCCTTCAGCTACTATAAAACTTGTAATAGAAATATGTCAATTGATATCACCCATTCCAGTTGGAGTGGCTGATTTTAACTTTTTTACAATTGTTAAAGAGTGCCTAAAGGATTTGGGGGAATACCCTAACCCAAAAGTTTGAAATACAAGGGATTTAAGGGAGAATTTAGGACATTCAGAACCTCCACAAAACTGATCTCTGCTTCAAAGTAGTAACAGTGGATATGTGGGTCTAACTTTAGGGAACTACATTTTTCCATGAGATTTTCAAGGGCATCTTTGGAGTGCGTCAGAAACAGCTTCTATCATTGTTACAACTTGTCTCCAGCAATGAAAGGAATCTGTTGAAGCAGAACTCTGCGGGAGTCGAGTCACAGCAATTTCTTTTTTTTTTCACAGGGATTTATCTCCTCCAGATATTTCAACTGTGTTTACAGAAGCTCTTATCACAGGCAAGATCATTTCAAATTTTACAGAAACCTAGTGACAAGCCTTAATATTCATGTGTGGATTACAACCATCAGAAAGTTCAGAGGCTAGGTTCTTCACAAAAGTAATGAGGTAGAGCCTCAGACGCTACTAAGTGCCACCCTACTGAAGTCATGCAAACCTAACAGAAAACACTAAGTCCAGGAGATGCTTTTGGAGTCTGGGTTCAGATCTCAGTATAAAATCAATGCGGCTCCACATGGGAACAATAAATTCTGTAATTTTGCACAGTATTCATCTTTCTAAACAAACTTCAAAATTCAGCAACTTATAGGGTCACACTGTGATTAGTCATTGTGAAAGGCAAAAAGGCAAAAAAAAAAAGTGTGGTTACTACAGGTTGTAGTATATAATTTTGCTGGCCCTCAAGCTGTACCCAGGAAGTTACTGGTGAGAACAGGACACACAATATCAACACCTGATTTATAGGAAGTCAGGACGTAAATGTCTGTTGAGAAAAATACTTAAACCCCCTGACACAAGTTACAGTTACATACAAACAGTTTGGAAAACAAACAAACCCAATACAGAAAGTATTAATCCTACACTTTATCACTGAGGGCCGGAGAATATACCTTTAATTTCTGTCCTGCACAGAGGAGACACAAGCAATAGGTTAAAGCTTTAAGAGGTGGTCTGATGCACAAGTCTCAGTTATTTCTGAATTGAAGAGGGGATTCCACCTAAAATGAATTGGCTATTAAATGCATTAAAAAGCCAGTACCCAAGAAATCAAATACAGAGAGGACTCACAATCTTTTGGGCTGCTCTTCCGGAACTTTTCCAGATCCACATTGGGAGGTCTGCTGGGCTTCTGTGGGGGCTGTCCCACTTTGAACAGCGGGGGCAAGGCTTTTCGCTTGGGGGTTCCTGAACTCCTGTCCCCATTCTCTTTCTCTTGTGATCCACCTGATGGCCTTCCTACAGCAGGCGTTGTGTTCGTCTTATGGAACTTTGAAGAAGAACCTGATTCTTCCTGGATGATTTTGTTGAGAAATATGTTCTTGGCAGCACTCATTCCCTTTTCTTCAGTCTTTTCATCCACATTTTTTGGGATACCTTGAGAAGGGAGAGACCTGTGGCCAGTGGGCTTCAGAGCCATGTTAGAAGAATGACTGCCTGCAGCTTCTGCAGCACTGTTGCTATTTTCATCCATTTCCTTTGCTGCTTTAAACGAGTGTATATTTGGTCTAGGGCCTGATAGTCCTTTCTGCAGAAAAGCATTTTTATTTAAAGTGTCTTCATTGTGGGAGACCTCATGGTTTAGAGAAGGTTTCTGTGCAAGAGGTGGCTTAGAGATAGAAGGCTTGGGCTCATTTTCTTGTGTTGCAGACATAAACTTTTCCTTAGCTCCAGATATTTTTGAAAATACTGGTTTTGCTTCACTCTCCTGTGGCTCAAAATTTGAATTTGGTTTTATTAACGGCGGATTTTTTTCTTTCTCATGAGAAGCAGAGTTAAGGAACTTGTTCCCTGCAGGTTTTGGATACAGAGGCTTTGGCTCTTCTTTTGCCAAGTCACTGGTTTTGGTGGAAGGTTTAGTGCATCCAGCTTTTCCATCGTTTTCTCTGTTGGTTGCCTGAAGCTGAACCCCAAATCTTTGAGCCACTGGTTTCAAATATGGGGGCTTTGGATCCTTCTCTGTTTTATCATCAGTTGAAGGCTTGGCTGCCACAGGAGGTTTAGGATGAACAGGTTTGTGAAAGGTACTGGGTCCTGAAGGAGAAGTTGCATTTCCTTGACCTGCAAATTTCTCAAGTGCTGCTTTCCTCGTCTGTAATCCTGTGTGTATACGCTGTCCTGGGGCTTTGAAGGGTCGACTGATACCAGAAACATCCTCTGTGGGGCTATTACCCGTGTTAAATTTCGCCATGAGTGACTTCACATCTGTCTTGCCATCCTGAAAGCATGAAGAAGAGAAAAAGAAAGAGCAGCAATGAGAAAGTCCCTGTTGCAATGTTCACACATACTGTACTTTAAAGGGTTTCCTGGTCTGAGGCTTGTAGTACTGCTGATTGGCTGTGGAGATATTGTAGCACATCTTCCTGTAGGGTTAGAGAGGCTGAATATTTTGTTATAGCCTTGCAGTGGTTATACAGTCTTTTAAAATTTTCAGTACAGGTACTGCCTTTAGGGAGTTGTCAGGCAGCTCCTTTTGGGCTATAATTTCTGTTTATGTCTGGAATTGAGAGCTGAACACCTAATAAATATAAGAAAATACATACTACTTTAAAATTAATGTATCCTTGAAAATATGAGTGTCCTGTGGTGAGAAGCACAGACTAGAACCTGGATTATGTACCAGACTAGCATTACTCCTGCCAACTCTTTGGAGAACTGCAAGTTCCTTTGTGAAAACAGAAATTCTTTTTGCTTGGGGTGTGTATGTCAGTTTTTCTTTCCCTTCTCAGCAATTTTCTTCCCCCACCTCACTTTGTCCTTGTTTCCCTTCTCCATTTTTTATCTGAAAAAAACTTTGCATGTGTAGATGGAAAATGAAAATATGTGGAGTAAAATAGGAAGAAACGACAATTAATACATGCAGATACGTCCAAGATACTTCATTTTTTTGTGGTGGTGGGGAGAGAAAGTTGAACAATTTCAAGTGGACAACACCTAGCTTCATCTGAAAATGTTTTAATTGGTCAGCCTTACTCAATACCTTTCAGGATGAGCCTTTAGTATTAACTGAGAACAAAAGCTCAATACATTTTAATTCATTATAATTAAAACACAGCACAGTGAAGACTGGGGACAAAGGAGAAAGAACTGGTCCCACTGCACTGAGCTGGGGCCACCTTTGTGTTCTGAGACCCCTCTGCAGCCTGGAGTCGTTTTCCAGCCAGCACTGTCAGCCAGGGTGCAGCTACGGCAGGTACGCTGGTGTATGCGATTCACAACTTGTTTAAGTGGGATCTGATTTATGTGTGAAAGTCAATATGTAAGACTACTGGTATAAAGCAGGGATATTATAGCCAAGAAGGGCTCTGAATCATTTGTTTGGAAATAAAGGAGTATCACTGCAAAGCACAATAACTAGAGGTCTGAAAAAAAAATTTTAGAAAGAAGTTGAAGGATGAACTGCGTCTTCGCTCAGTACAGTTCAATGGATGTTTAGTAATTTTTTTACTTCCTTAACAAGAGCTTCTAAATTGGGGTTTTGCTCTTTTTGCCTCCTGTTTGATTGTATCACATTACATGAATTTCCTGTTATGTTGGAATAATTTTACCTGTGAATACCACAACTTAACCTTCCTAGTCTTTCAGTATCACCAAGAAACTCAGTCTTTCCAAATTGTTTGCATTATGCTACAAAGTTACTCTACAATAAATGCAGCCAAAAAAAAAGATAGACATATATGAAGCTTATCCCCAGAGCACCACATTGTTATCTTTTTTGTGCATATAGGGAAGGGAGGATGTACGCACTTACTATGGAGATTATCATGTTTAAGCCATCTACTGCTGGTTGACGCATATGCACTCACATAAAGACAAAATTACACTGCAGAGATACGTACATGTATCACTAATCATTCAAGATTTCTCCCACAATACCTCACAAAGCACTGATTTTACCCACTTAAACAGAAAGTTAAGCTAATTGCAATGCTAGAGAGAGTAACAAAGCCTTTTGTCTCTGATCTCTTTTGACTTTGTACTAAAGCATGCTTTTTTTAAGTCTTCTATAACAAAATTAAACCATCAGAGGTACTGTAACTTTACATCAGTGTCTCAAGTCTTCAGAACATTACAATTTGACCAGCAGCGTGGCCAACTCAACAGCTCATTTCTGTCAATTCTGGGTCCTGTACCGGGACATGGCAATCCCAAGCACAAATACATGTTGGGTGGAGAATGGCTGGAGAGCAGCCCTGAGGAGGAGGACTTTGGAGTGCTCCTGGATGAGAAGCTCAACATGAGCTGGCAATGCGCACTGGCAGCCCAGAAAGCCAGCTGCATCCTGGGCTGCATTATAAGTGTGGCCAACAGGTCGAGGGAGGTGATTCTGTCCCTCTACTCTGCTGTCATGAGACCCCACCTGGAGTACTGCGTCCAGCTTGGAGTCCTCAACACAGGAAGGACATGGAGCCATTGGAAAGTGTCCAGCAGAGTGCCACAAAAATGGCCAAGGTCAGGAGAATGAGACACCTCTTCTGTGAAGACAGAGAGAGCTGGTGTTGTTCAGCCTGGAGAAGAAAAGGGTCGGGGGAGATCTTATAGCAGCCTTTTAGTATCTGAAGGAAGCCTATAGGAGAGATGGGGAAGGACTTTTTATGAGACAGTGTAGCGATAGGATGAGGGGTAATGGTTTTAAATTGAAAGAGGGGAGATTTAAATTAGATATTAGGAAGAAATTCTTTGCTGTGAGGATGGTGAGATACTGGGACAGGTTGCCCAGAGAAGTTGTGGATGCCCCATCCCTGGAAGTGTTCAAGAGCAGGCTGGATTAAGCTTTGAGCAACCTGGTCTAGTGGGAGGTGTCCCTGCCCATGGCAGTGGGGTTGGAACTCGGTGATCTTTAAGGTCTTTTCCAACCCAAACCATTCTATGTTTATATGAAAGTTAGAACCTGAAAGGTCCCTTCTAACCTAGACGATTCTATGATTCTATGAATGAATTGATTCTTCTGCTACCTCTTCCATTTGAAATTTAAGAAAACATACTGTGTCAAACTACAGTAATGTAATATTGTGGACAAGAGACATTCAGCATAACACACATTTAGAAAGCTGGAAATGTGACTTTGAAGAAACTTTTCTTGTTATGCTGTATAATTTCTGAGAAGTTTTCTACATCCTTGCAACAGCAAGATCAATGACATTCATACATGCTTTGAAATTCACTGAACCGTTCACTACTGCAGTGTTAGGACTACAAAAGGATTTCTTTTAATAAATTTCCTTCCAGTACAATGAACAAACCTTGCCTTAATCATGTAGATTTACAAGCTCTCCAAGAGTAAAAAGCTCATGGGCATGTGGAAGGGTTTACTATCAGAAATGTAGTCTCTCTCATTTACTTACAATGAGTAGCAACTGGTAAAGGCAATACGAAGAATCAGAAGAGAGTAAGAAATCTTTCTACTTCTCTTTAATGTACGTCACCAGTTCCTGCTTTCATAAACTATGGTATTCTGGAAGCCATATTGTGGACTCTAGTGCAACCTGTCTGGCCAGGTCAACAGATGGGGAACTGGGAAAAAAAATCTTTTTTTTGTGGCCCTGCTCATAGAGTAATCCCCCACAGTTTCTGTGTTTCCCTTCACAGAAGTGACAGCAGTTACCTATTCCATTAGCACATATAATAGGTTGTAAATCATGAAACGGGAACTTACAAAGATTCTGAAGTGAGATTAAGTTCACCCTACCCTTCCCCTCTAAAGGGCAAAGTGCCTGTGGGACAGAGCAGTCTCATGCAAGAAGTACTTCAGTTATTTTCTGATCTTTCTCTTTGAGTTCTATTGGGAAACTCAGTGCAAAGTATTTTTGCTTTTCAGCTTCTGATCTGAACTGGAAGCAGCTAAGGTGCACAGCAACATTTACTTTGATATGAGGTGGTTGCATCACTCAAATTTGTTTTCTCAAATCTAAAACATTACTCGGGTTTTAGTTCCTATGCCACAGATTCATCAAGGAGATTTGTGTATGCAGTACTTTCCCAGCCTCCCAGTGCCCTCAACAGAGACTCACACAGATACCAAGACACACTTGTACAGAATTCTGCAACAACTAGATCTTAATTACACCTCAGCAGAAACAATTGCAATTCTCTATTATTTCAATATAACTGCACATTTGTTGCAGAAGTACAACGTAACGAGAACACAGGAAATATAAAGGTTCAAATTTTATTCTTCCTGAGTTTACTGTGAATATTTCAGTCTCAACTAGCAGCCCCATGAAAAAAAAACATTTGGGTTATTTTGGCACCAACATGCTTTCATTATTTGCTTTCCAGTCTCGGTGAAGCCAAAAGATCATTTCACTTCAATTTTCCCCTGTAGCTGCTCTTTCTTCAAACAGTAGCTCTGGATCAATAAAAGGAATAGCAGATGTGTGCATACAACTCTTACTTAAGAGAATTAAATATATGTAACTGTTGATTGTACAAGGAATTGTGCAGTTTGTCAAAATACATGCAGATCTAATTTATAAAGGAAAAGAACTATCTTTTAATTTCTCACCTGTATTTTTTTCCCATTTCCAAGTGATTGAGTCTGAACAACCCTTTTAAGAACTATTATAACAGAATCAGATCTTGATGTTTTTTTCTAGAAAGTAATGAAATAAAGATTATAAAGCCCTCCTTTTAAGAAGTGTGTATATTTGTGACTTCTGTGACAGTGAAATAACCAGAGAAGGTGACAGACACTAAGGGAATTAAGCACTTACTCATGGACAGGATATAAGAAATAAGGAACTGGACAGAAAAAGCAAGGAAAATGACATATGAAAGTTGTAGAAAAATACAGATATGAAAATTATTTGGCAACTTTATAGGGGCCTGATTTAACTTTTTCTGAAGTTAATGGATTTGAGGGAGTTTAGCTGCTTGCACAAGATGCTAGTGCCATTCTGAATTCATAATAAATTATTGTTTGGCTATTTCCTTTTCCAGACAGTCAGTCTTCAGAATTATCATATGCAACTTCGTTGTTTCCAGAAGAGATAAATAATTTCCAAGTTGCTTTTCTTCCACTTGATTCTAGTTATAATTACTAGTTCAAGAAGACTCCCTTTAATAGTGAGTACAGCATTTGAAAACTGGAGTTAAGGTGTTGCAATACTCTATTCCTGTGAACGTAGAAGGCAGCAGAAAGACAGTGTCTGCCCAAAGAAAAAGATTTGCTAATACAATGGTTGGTATACAAAAGAAACAAGACCTCAGAAACTAAAAAATGAAAAGGCAGGCTATTCTGCTGTCTGTTTTTTTAAAGGCAGACCGCTAGGATGGAGGGGATAGACAGAAAACCAGAGATTCCCTGGTGAGAGGCTGACAGCCTCTATGTTATCCTGAGTGCATCTCTTCAAACATCTCTCTAACCCCAACATGACAAAACCAGCATACTCATGAGGACATTTAGTTGTCAAAATTAGATGAGGCAGTGTTCCAGCTTGATCATACTGTATTGTGTAACACCTTTTACATTGAACGTTCCTCTACACCTTTATTGTCCCTCTCCTGTCACTTTTCCTCATCTTTTACCTAACCATAAGACCAACTACATCATATTGCAGGAACATGAGAGGATAATATAATTCATCCAATCCAGGTCCACAACAGCCAGATGACATCCCAGCTTGGTCCCAAACTGTTGCTGTCAAAGCCTATGCATGAGGATAAAGTATCGTGCATGGTCATCTCTTCATCCTATGTCCCAATAAGTTCAACACAAAGTTTCACTTTTATTTTCTTGCTTGTCTTTGGTACATGTCTACATCTGAAATTAGAAAAACTATCAACCATTGCCAACTCAGTCTTCAACAACAGAACCTGGAAGCTTCAATTTTCCACCAAGAACTTCTATCCAATAAAAACAGATTAACTAATATCCCTTTCTGAAGAAGGATTATGATTTTTTTTTTAACATGAGCTTATATAAGCACAGAGTTTCATGAAACTTCATAATTTGGGCTTTTAAAACTATTTTTCTCAGGTGCTAATCAACAGCTTTCAGAATAATGTAGACTTTCTGGTCAGCTTGCCCAGAAATTAAGCAGAAAGATCCCTCTTCACTCAGAATCCTATTTATATATAGGGTATACAGTGACTGTTTCAGGAACATCTTTGATTTTACTCTGGTTATTCCACTAAAGCTAATGTAACATCTCCAGGTCTCAAGGAAGAAAAACTTGAGTTACTTCCAGTGAAAGAATTTCAAGATCCTATACGATTTAAAGCAAATTTTTTGCAGTTTTGAGACACTGAGTACCATTCTGATTCACCACCGGAAAGAAAAATATTTTCCACGACCGTGACAAACAAAATACATAGACTGATATCTCAATCCAGATTAAGGTATATTAAAAAATACCCCACCCACAAACCCACCAGCCACAAATAATGCAAAAGGAATTACCAGAAAATAATTGCCTTTGAGTGATACCATTGCTGTTACTATCCAACATGCAATGACAATTTAATTAGGACCGCTCTTTAGTTCAGGAAACTAAACACAAACTTTCGAGAGAGAAAAGTCCATTTCATCAGCTTGTTGTCTTTTCAGCTCCATAACTGAAGTAAAATATACAATTAAAGTTTCCAGTTATATGAGGCTGTATATAATACCTTGTGGTGTTTCTATTTCTCCTGGAACTTTGCATGTTTACTTCTAGGACAAAGACGTACAAAAATTTACCTGGACTCCCCGAAGATCTCCAGTATTTTGATACAGGCAGAAAAACTGGGTCCCTCAATGAGACAATCCAAGGGTATATCACCTCAACAGCCTGGTCTGTTTACTAAGCGGAGTTCTGCTTCTCAGCAAGGGTTTGCATAAGAATGCTGCTTGTGGGTTTCATTATCATGATCAGTAGAGAAAACTGCTCTCCTCAGGATATTAGGCAAGATGTGGTGGGGGAAAAGGGAACTAAATATGTTCAGACTGTTTGGCTGCTGCCATCAGCAGTATTCACCATGTGATATCTAAAAGTATTGCATTTACCCCATATTGTGGAGTCCTGTGAAGCTATATTGGTGCACACAGGCTTGAGTCTTTACAGAATAATAAAATATGTGTGGCAATTAGAAGTGTGGACAAAACTAGACCAAACTTTTGCGTCATCAAGTCTAGGCCCCTGCTACCACCGAGAATCACTGAATACATTCCCACTTATCAGGTGTCAGCTAATGTGTTTGCTTGCTCCCACCTTTGCCAGCAGGATCTCACAAGGTTCTAACGACCAGTTGCTTAAAAGCACATCTTCTATGTGAAGATTTACTTTTTTAAAAAACTATGATCATACATTTCTTCTGCCCGTCTGCCTGTGAATTCATTATGAAGATTTACTTTTTTAAAAAACTATGATCGTACATTTCTTCTGCCCGTCTGCCTGCGAACCAAAGACTTTGAAGGATGGATAGGAAAGCTGGTATTGAGAATATAAACTTCACAAGAAATTCCAAACCTGTGTTTGTTCTGAAAGTAAACCCAAACCATGAAGGCAGAACCCTCTACTAACCACAGCTCAGTGAAGTTTCTGGAGCTCTGCACGGGCATGGGATTGCAGAAGGAAAATTGTGTGTCTCTGAGCTTCATAAAAGGTTGTTTGACTCTTCCTCATTGTCTATCACTTCTCCTTCTACATGACTTTCTTCATATTTTTTGAAACATTTTTGGGTGTCAAAATAAAGCAACGGAGGTGCTTGATATTTCCAGCTTAATTTTACAAAAATTTGCATCTTAGCTAGTTCAGAAGCTTATCAGAGTGCTTGATGGATCTTATTTGAGTTAAAAACTCTGCCACATGGTTTATATTTGCCACTTGCCAATGATAACTTTTTTTTTTTTTACATGAAAGTGTTTTTTTTCTTAGTGGGAGAATTGCAGCTCTTTATGCTATTCATTCTGCTGAACACTGTATATTATTTATAAAATCTTATTTATTTGTAAAAATAAGCAATTATCACTGTTGAGGAAGCATTTATTACTAATATTAAGGCAAACCAGACTTTGTGACTTGCTATTTTGTCTGGTGGTCTTCATGACTTTCAAGATGCTAACTGTAGCAATATAGCCATTTTGCATGGGTAAGCAACACTGCAAATTTTTGCTCACAGTATCAGAGCTAGACAAATCATGCAACGATCAAAGAACTAGCTCATCTTTGCAACTCTGAATGCTAGACAGTTCCTGTTGTCTTCTCTTTCATCCAATACACAGAAATAAATATATCCCTAAGTGATAGAATGCTGCTGAGAATATAAACTGCAACAAACACAATGAAAATAACCATTTATGCTGTGAAATTGCTGTGAAAGTCGCCCATCTGCAATGTCTATCATATTCTTCATTTTACATGTGTGGGTGCAACAGCTTCCCAGGTCCTCTCTGTTTTTCCCGCTTATTTCTGTGAAGGATGTTTGTGAGTGATTGGGAAGAATTGGCTATTTTTAGGTGAAGAAAGAATCTGAAGGAATTAATATTTTACGGAACAGGATCTGCAAGCCTAAAAGCAGCTTATAGATATCTTGCCTTTTTTATTTTTAACAAAACTACAGCAGCAGCACCACAAAATTACAAAATTATATTTAAACAAGACAAGAATATCAATAATGATATATAAGCAAGCCATTCCAGACTCTATAGGCCAAAACCATCATCTATATCCCAGCATAGCAATCATGTGATTGCATTCCCATGTACAGCTTTTATGACTGCAGCCTTTAGTTATTATTATTTTTTTTTTTAATCAGAGCATCTATTCAAATTTCTGTTTCCATGCACCTTCAGGAGAAGTGGCTGCTTAGCAATTAAACTTGTCAAAAATAGAGGAAACAAAAAAATTGGAGAAAGAGACCTTCACTGACTTTCTTTTCCATAAATGTTAGTCCATCTTTTTAAGGTATCTTTCATCTACTGATGTTGTCCTGTGCTCTCAAATGGTTTGAAAGGTCGAGCACTCTGAACACCTCTAGCTTCAAAGATCACAAAGAATGTTATAGTCAGGATCTTGTTACCCCCACAGCTGTCTCAGTATCGTTGTTGGAGGTGGTGTAAACTGAAGCGACAGGAAACAAAATAAGAATTTCTTTTTTTCTTTCCATGTTGTTTTTAACCTGTTTAGTTTCACTGATCTTACTCTATTACGTGATCCTAAACCATGCAAGACAGCATAACAGAGTTACTGGTGAGTGATGGTGTGAGAAGGACAGAAATGATTGGCTGTGGCAGGTAATCCTTAAATTAAAAGTACATGGGAGAGCACCTTTGGACAGATGAATTTATGTTATTAAAGCAAGCTTGACAATCTCCCTCCTAAGTCAGAATAGTGTTGCTCGGTTTATCTGTAATATACAACACATGCAAATATATGGAGTGCTCAGCAAGGGAAAGTCACTGTTAGTTGAACAGTTTTTCATGGAAACTTCTCTTCCTGCCTCCTCCTCGCTCTCATAGGACGTTTGCCTCCTAGCGGCAGACCAGGAGCTGCAGCAGAAATGACATATTTTGCAATTGATAATCTCTTTGTACCTGCTTGTACTGAGCGAGTTGCCGTCTACCTGGTCTCATGCTGCTCCTGGGGGATAGCGTTTCAAGTATGTGAACCTTGTCAGAGGACAACACAAAGACTTAGCAGTCCTGCTTAGCAATGCTCTGCCACTCCCCAGAGTCAGGAGCTGTGGGGAAAGCTGCCTCCCTGCCACTGTGGCAATCCTGTTACCACATCACTTTGTAAAGTACCTGATTTTCAGTAGAAACTTGATATTCCTGAACACTGGCAGGAACTTCTGCCAGTGCTACAGCATGCTATGAGAATGAATGTCTCTTGTAGTGTCCGTCTACATTATCTTTGTGTCCGCAGACAGTGCTAGACTTCCTGAAAAATGTGCTATTGCATTTCCATCGGGTTGACATTTGAAGGTGGCTTTAGTATTTCTGACAAAATTTGATGTGGTCATAAGCAAATTAGCAGGTTTCTCTTGTGTTTATATGCACGGTCATGCTTACAGGAACAACTGGGCTTTACAGATACTCTTTGTGGAGACACCTACCATGCAGGATTCCCTGAAAGCTCCTCAGCCCATGCTGTGGCTCTTTTAAATTGTCATAATTCAATCCCTATAATCTTTTAACCATTAACTATTATCACTATAGAATCATAGAATTGCATAGGCTGGAAGGGATCTTTCAGGTCATCAAGTCCAACTGTCAACCTAACACTGACAAAACCATCACTAAAACATATCACTAGGCGCCATGTTTACCCATCTTTTAAGTACATCCAGGGATGGTAGTTCCACCATTTCCCTGGGCAGCCTGTTCCAATGTTTGATAACCTTTTCAGTGAACAAATTTTCCCTAATTTCTAATCTAAATCTCCCCTGGTGCAATTTGAGGCCATTTCCTCTTGTCCTATCACTTGTTACTTGGGAGACCAACCCCCATCTCTCTCCAACCACCTTTCAGGTAGCTGTAGAGGGCGATAAGGTCTCCCCTCAGCCTCTTTTTCTGCAGGCTAAAAAGCCCCAGCTCCCCAAGCCACTTCTCTTGAGACTTGTTCTTGAGACCCCTCACCAGCTTGGTTGGCCTTCTCTGGACACATTCCAGCACCTCAATGTCCTTCTTGTAGTGATGGGCCCCAAACTGAATACAGTATTTGAGTTGGGGCCTCACTAATGTTGAGTACAGGGAGGTGATCACTGCCCGAGTCCTACTTGCCACACTATTTCTGATGCAGGCCAGAAAGCTGTTGGTGTTCTTGGCCACCTGGGCACACTTGCTGGCTTGTATTGAGCTGGCTGTTGACCAACATCCCCAGGTCCTTTTCCGCAGCGCAGTTTTCCTACCACTCTTCCCCGAGCCTGTAGTGCCTAATGGGGTTTTTGTGACTCAGGTGCAGGACCTGGAACTGGGCCTGGTGGAGTCCCATCCTGTTGGCCCATCAATCCTATATTTGTATTTGTCCAAACCAAGAGTAGAGAAATCTGTTTCCACTATTTATATTTTTCTATACTATTGAAAAGTAGAATTGACAAATCCAAGGAAGAAGTCAAACGGCACTGGAAGAACCTCCTTACCCTGACTATGCTTTGTGAAAGACATATTTCAGTCACAGACGAAAGCCTAACATAGTCCAGAGCATCACAGTCAGGTGAATATTAAATTCCTGGTTTTCTGCTTGGGTGTATGGACTGTAATACATCAGTCCTTCCAGAGCACCATCCTTCCATGCACATCTAAAGCTGATGCAAAGCACCGGCCATACAAAACAATCTTACAAGCAAAAAAGCAAGTCTGTCTTTTTTGTGATTTGACCTTAGAAACATTGTGTTGGCTCAAATCTTAAGCAATTCTTCTTTGAATACAATGCTTCTGGTCAGATATTAACTGTCATATTCCTCTAAATTACTTACCTTCACCACCCTGCACTCCCTGCTCCATCCTCTGCCCCTGAGCTGTCCCTCAGTGCCACCGTCACGTCACAGGCTCTGCCCTGCCCCTTTTGCTGCAAAGCTTACTCACACAGGGGGCTCAGATTAAGTGGCTTTTGAATTAGGCTTTTTTTGCCCTGCAAGCAATGCAGTTTTTGCCAATGTCAGTGCTCCCGGGATCAGCAGCAGGAGTTCAGGGGAATTGAAAGCAATGCAGCAGCAGCAAATGTTCCGGACAGACCAAACAGGAACACCAAGCCTTCACTAAACCCTCCACAGGCACCAGGAAATCCTACTGAAAGCACAGAGCTCACCATGGCAGTCAAAATCAAACAAAATCCCATGAGGCACGAGCTGGGAGGACTCACAGAACTCACCACAACACCATCACCCC